GTACCCAGAAAAAACGAGGTCTTGCCCATGGCCTGGAAGCAGCTGCTACAGTCCTCATACACCGTCCTGTCGCCCGCTGCCAGGATGACCAGCATCCCGTCGTTGGACAGCTGCTGGCTTCCTGCCACCGGAGCTTCCAGGAAGCGGCCGCCCCGTGACGTGATCACCTGACATTCAAAATAAGAATTTATTGATACACTCAGCTGCTCCTACTGTAGGCATTTCTAACCAAGATGAAGCAGCATGAGAGAGTTTGATGCTGTGTTTACCTGTGAGAGCTCTGTGATGGTCTCTGGATCCACTGTGGACATCTCCACGTAGCACTTGCCCGGTCTGATTCCTTGTAGCACGCCACTGGGTCCCAACACCAACTTCATAAAAGACAGAAATGTGAATATAGAACGATGTGATTGATTAGTGTCGTTACCTCATTAGATGACTGCTGGTGTGAGTTAAATATCAACGAGCTGTTAAATGAACAACTTTGTCACATCCATCAGAGAGCCATGTTCACACCCATCCTCACAGTGAAACACCAGCTCGTCACCAGTGACTCAACTTGCAAAGGTCAGAGCACGTTTCTGCTCATTTATAGCCCCGCCCACTCACTCTCTGACTGGAAATCTGTGCACTTGATTAATGCATGAAATCATGGATCCATTTGATCTGTCGTTAGCTTGTTATTTGCAGACTGGCGTTGAACACGGTGCAGCGTACTCACGTCTCTGGCAGCCTTAGGGTCAGACACGCAGGAGAAGGTGATGTCACACATGGAGGCCACTTCTGCAGGAGTGCGGCCTAACCGCGCCCCCTCCTGGATGAACAGGTCACACTGAAACACAGCAGGGAGGAGTCAGCAGCAGGCCACACCCCTTTCAACCAACCATATCCACGTTGGGCGCTTTAACGCTGCTGAATGTGATCGTGTTAGAGCAGCCACGGGCTGGAGTGTGTTTACCTTCTCTGCAGTGCGGTTCCACACGGTCACGATATGACCCATTTTCAACAGGTTGGAAACGATGCCGCTGCCCATCAGCCCCAGACCCAGGAAGCCTATTCTGGAGAGCAGAAGCC